TTGTTTTCTACGGTTGGTTTTAAGATTGTCTTCATCTTTCATTTTTAGAAATTTTACTATACTATGCTTAGGTGTGGATTTACATGTATCTAGGGTTCAAGTAAATCCTAAATCTGTTTCCTAATGCTGTTGGTTAGTTCTGGAAAATCAACTCTTCATATGTCACTTTTATCTTCTCATTCTAGAATTGACTTTTGTTCTCTCCATCATTCCTTTTACTATATCCATACTCTCTTACACGTTGTCTGTGTTTACATACTTTTGCATATCCATGCTTTATTTTAGATTTTTTCTTTGGATTTATCTTCCAGTTTACCAATTTTTCTTTTCAGCTATGAACTAACTTGTTAAACATATTCAATTGTTTTTAAATTTTTATTGTAGTTTTCTATTTGAGAACTTCTATTTAATGTTGTAATCATTTTTTGTTATCTGCTAAAATTTATATATTTTATTTTCAAGAATATTTTTTATTTCTTAAGAATAATTATTTTCAAGTACATGACTATGACTCCATCATCTGGAACAGTTGTGATCTATTTTTGTTTTCTGTGTGATTTTTATTATGTGACAGACATTGCTTATGAAAAACTGTTGATACAATCTGGAGTGTAGCATGATTTTATTTTACAGAGGAATTTAACAACACTATACACAGCTAACCTAAATCTGCCAAAAATGGAGAAAATTTGGAATTGAAGATAAGTCCACGTTAGTTAGGGCTAATCTCCTAAAATGTGGTCCTGTGTAGACACAACATCCTACTTGTAAAATTTGCTACATTATCTTCCCTCTCCAGTTTTTGTTCTCCTAGCTCCATGCATCTACCAAAACTTTACTTCTCAGCTTCTAAGTTTCTTAGCCACCTTTTCCAAACTAGAAGATACCTATAAGTAGAAAGCATTTCTGAATGTCAGGCTTATAATCTTTTTTGAGTTTTTCTAGCTGAGCTTTCAAACATTTAAGTCTTAAAAAAATCTTGTCCAATTTTTCTAGTTGTTCCCAGTGGAAGTGTTGGCCAAATTATAGTTCACCATTATGGAACATGTCTTCCATTATGGGAAATGAATCTCTTAATAAATTGGATTCATTTTTAAGCTTGGTATAAGGTAAAAATCTAATTTATTTTTAACAAACATATAGCCAATTATCCCAACTAATTTTAAATGCTGATTTACTAAATATTTGTATATGCCACATATTAAAATCCACATATGCACATGTTTATTTCTAAATTTCATATTTAAAACAAATGAGCAATAATAATCAAGTATTAAAAATAATTATGAGAAGGCATTGCCATACTACGTAACAAGACAGTTGATAAAGTTGTGGCCTCTTCCTCCATCTTCCAGGACAACAGAGTGACATCTTCAAATCTTCCTTTTTCTGTCTCTGATCCTCCTGCCTTCCTCTTTTTCTTATATGGAGAGTACATTGATCCCACTTCAGTAATCTAGAATAATTTCTCCATCTCAAATTCATTAACTTAATCAAATCTGCAAAGTCCCTTTTACCATGTAAAGTAATATACTAACAAGTTCCAGGAATTAGTAATAGTCATCTTCAACTATGCAGCCAATATTCAAATGCCCCAATTATCTCATAACTGTTTTGTGTTTGTGGTTTGGTTTGTCTGTCTGTTTGAAGTGGGATCCAAATATGATACCTACATTGAATTTGATTCAGCCATTTTTTAATCTATAGGTTTACCCTTTATGTATTTTTATTTTTTTGCAATTTGTTTGTTGAATAGTTCATGTCTTCTGTCCTATAAAATCTCCTATACCCTCATTTGCTAACTGCATTTTTATGGTATCTTTAACATATTCCTTTATCTTCCATATTTCCAGTAAATGAGAAGTTAGTGTTAGAAGACTGACAAAAAGACTAACCAGTTCAAATTGAAAGAGCAATTTATATGGGGTTTCACATAATTCTATTAAAAAGCAAGTGAAGTCTGGTTTTCTTTCTTTTTGTGATGTCAGGAGCCATGCATCATCCTTGCCTAGATCTATTATTTTATTAAAGGTTGACAAATGGTGATATTCTACTTCTTCATTCTTTTCTCACTTATGAAAGGGACACTTCTATGATTAGAGGAAATTTATGTTTTGTTCTCATCTACCCATAATTAAAAAAACTAAGGTTCATTGGTGTTATCTAAGTTGAATACTTGCCTAAGAGTTAAATTTCAAACATTCATGTGTTTGTCTTGTGGCCCTTATTTGGTCCTAGAGCCCGAGATCAGCATGCATAATCACATTACTGGGCAGGCCTCTGCCTCTGCCATGAAAGGTTGTTAATTAAAAAACAAATATTTGTATCAAGGGTTAGCAAACACTTCTAAAATGTCATAAAATGTAGTGGTGTAAAATCTACTTTCACTAATCCTTTAAAATTCTATGAGTGGTCTAATTCTTAAAGACGCAACATTCATCTCTTAAGGATTTTTTTTTTTTTTTTTTTTTTATTGCTCTGGTCAGCTTGGGGAAAATACAAGTGACTATGGAAAATAATGAGGCAGTTGGTCCGTGTCTACTTTCTCCATTTAATCTTTCCATAAGCATAAATTTCACTTAAATATATCCTTACAATATAGAAGAAAGGCATGATTGTGTAATTAACAAAGGAAAAGGGAGTTCTTTCTGAAATTTTTTCTTGATCACTCTAAATATCTACTTAAGCTGTTACTGAAGCCACTATCATATTCCCAAAGTTTTACTTGAACTGATCAGATAGGATTATATTCCAAACTGATAATTATTTTAAGGGCTGTCACACGATATGATGTAATTCTGAAGTGGAAACGTTTTTCAGTGAAACTTTGTCAAGTGACACCTAATTTAAGCTACAGCATGAGGAGACTGCAAAGAAGTAGTTTTTAGGAAAGTTAGAAGCAAAAAGGGTTCCTTGTTTTCTGGCAGTTCACTTTTAAAAGGCTGGCATTAGAACAAGTACCCAAATGAAGAGTGAGTAACGGTGACTGAGGTGTTTATGAAGGGAGTAGTTTATAAATTCCAGAATAACAATACACACGAAGTCAGAATAGCTGGCATGTTCCATGTGGTTCTTAATATCAGGAAAATTACAAAGATAATGAGGATATCCCCTTACTCACTGTTTATTTCTGATTATGGCCACTCCCATCCCTGGTACTTCTAGGAGGCAACAAAGCCTCCTAAAGTAATTTCGGACCTACAGAAGCACTATTTTTTTTTTTTTTGGCATCTTTTGTCTCCCTAAAATGTCTTCCTAAAATCTACAAGGAATTTAAATTTACAAGGAAAAAACAACCGCATCAAAACGTGGGTGAAGGATATGAACGGGCACTTCTCAAAAGAAGACATTTATGCGGCTAACAAACATGAAAAAAAACCCTGACCATCACTGATTATTAAAGAAATATCACAATGGGATACTATCTCATGCTAGTTAGAATGGCGATCATTAAAAAGTCAGGAAACAACAGATGCTGGAGAGGATGTGGAAAAATAGGAATGCTTTTACACTGTTGGTAAAAGTGTAAATTAGTTTAACCATTCTGGAAGATAGTGTGGGGATTCCTCAAGGATCTAGAACCAGAAATACTATTTGACTCAGCAATCCCATTACTGGGTACGTATCCAAAGGATTATAAATCATTCTACTATAAAGACACAAGCACACACATGTTTACTGCAGCACTAATCACAACAGCAAAGACTTGGAACCAACCCAAATGCCCATCAATGATAGACTGGATAAAGAAAATGTGGCACATATATACCACAGAATACTATGTAGCCACACAAAAAGGATGAGTTCATGTCCTTTGCAGGGACATGGATGGAGCTGGAAACCGTAATTCTCAGCAAACCAACACAGGAACAGAAAACCAAACACTACATGTGCTCACTCGTATGCTGAACAATGAGTTGAACAATCAGAACACATGGACACTGGGAGGAGAAAATCACACACTGGGGCTTGTCAGGGGGTGGAGGGATAGCATTAGGAGAAATACTTAATGTAGGTGATGGGTTGATGGGTGCAGCAAACCACCATGGCACGTGTATACCTGTGTAACAGACCTGCAGGTTCTACACATGTATCCCAGAACTTAAAGCATAATAAAAAAATAAAATAAAAAAGTAAAAAAAAAAGTTTTCCTACTTAGGATTCATTTCTAGGCATTACATATATGTGATTATAAGTAAGCCTATTTAAAAGTGTCTCCAGATAGACCTTTCATTGTAGAATTGCTGTTCTATGCACTGAAATGTTTATATAGTATTAATTAAGTGGTTACTGTATCCTACATTATACTATATGCTGTAGTAGAAAAGGAGCAGATATCCTTGTGTTCAAGAAAATTACTGCTGAGTTGTACTGACTATATCAACCCACAGGAAACAAAACCATATGATACAGTGGGTATCTATATGCTTATCGGTGCAACAGTAGCCCAAATTCAGCAATAAGAGATCAGTTGGAATACAACAATATGAATTGATTAGAGAGTTTGTCTGAACCTTTTGTTTGAGATTATGATGTAATTAAGATAGGTGTGATCCATTGAGGAAGTGGGATATGAATTAGGTCTTAAACAATGAGCAGAATTTTAAAAATGTGAAATTAGAAGAGATTTCACTGAATTAAGTTGTCATTACATTTATTTATATAATTCTTCTTTTTTGCCGATTACTAGTTGGTTTATCATTTTTTTCTGATTTGATTTGTATGCAGACATAGTACCTTATCCAACTGAACTTTGTCAAATAATCCATAAATACACAAAGTATGCATGATTAACAATGCTTTTAATGCCAAAAGACAGCTTATTTTCTTAATCCAAAGATCGCTTTATCTAATTATTCTTTTTGCAAACTACGAATTGGTTATATTAACACTTGAATAATCTTGACAAGAAGTTGCTTTAAGCAGTTAAAGATCCAGATGCTGATCAGCATGCATTCAGTGATTCTGCTTAATTGATTCCATCTAGATAAATTACTTACCTCAGTTCCTATCACAATTTCTTCCCTGGCAGAGTAGAACATAAACTCGTAGAGCTTGTAGTGTTGAAATAAGCTGAAATATAAAATAAATGTGCACTCTGATAAGTCAGTTTCAGGAAAAGAAACCTACAACAGGTAAAAGCATTTATTAAAGGAAACTTTATATTGACCAAGCTAATGCTATCAAACACTAAAATAGAGTTAGCAACTTCCTTTATTCCAAAAGAAATTGTCTGGAAATGCTAAGAAATTAGAGTTTTATTTTTTAAGGAAATGACAATATAACACAGTACCTAGAATAATATCAGTAAATCCATCTGTAATGAGTGAGTAAGTTAGGAATAAGGAAGAAATTAGATGGCATCTTGACTCTCCGTAGCTTGAAAGCAAATAATGCACCATTCCTAAATAACATGAAACTTCATATTATTTGCTATGTTTTGCTGCAAACAGGAGTCAATTTCCTCTGGTACAAATGGCACTGAACTATATAATCTACCTCTATATCAATTACTTCTCACATTCTCAAACTGTTTCAAGATTAAATTAATCTCTAATAATACCTGAAAAATGATGGTGCATGAACTAAAATCCATTTCGAAAATGTCTGCGTTTCCTGCAGAAAATTCAGTCACACATGAAAGGGAAAAATTAATTTAAGAAAGATTATTTCTTCAGTTCTTACCCTAAAAACTGTGTGGTCAGCAAATAAAAACTATAAAGAACCAAAGGATAGGAGGTCCCTAACACAAGTATTTCCAGTAAGTTTAAAGAGCAATGCATTATTAAGAGTTAAAAATTTACTGAAGGGCTGACTTCTAATATCCTGTTTGTGATAATATTTGAATTTTTCTAGTTCTCTTCCTGCTGGTTGAGAAAATTAATAGACTCATAATACAGCAAAATGCCCAAGAACAAAAAATTGTCTTAGTGGTTTCTCTTTCACTCTGGTGACTTTTGCTATTTAAGAAAATTGATTTTAATATAACTGAGAAATTAACGTTTGCAAAATGTAGCTACAGAGCATGTATAATAATGGCTTCTCCTGGATGTTGTAATGGATCAAAGTTTCAATTCATTTGAAATCAATGAAGAAATCCTTAGGCAGCTGAGTCTCTCTCAGTTATATTAGCAGTTGATATCACTACTAACACAATCCATTAAAAAGTGATGGGTGTGCAGACTGTGTCATGGTATTATTTTTTGGGGGAAAAACCTCTTGTACATTTAAATTACTCATCAACATTCAGAAAAGTAACTTGGCTTTTGACATACTTTGATTTGTTGGCTAGAAAAATATATCAAGATTAGTGAAGTTTAATAATTCAATGAAGCAAAATAAATTCAAATTCTTCCTAACTTACACTGGTTACCTAGAGAAAGCCTTAAGGTCAAAAATATTACACTGGCAATAACTAATTTTAAGTAGAAAAATTAAAGACTATAGAGTATTTTGGAAACAGCTTGGCTTCCTCTCAGAGAACCAGTATAAAATTTCCCTTTCTCTATCTTGTGTCACACACAAAGAACTTAATTCATAGATCTTCCTTCCTGCAATTTCATAATCTTTCAGCCTTATTCTTTTCATTGCGTATAGGAATTAGGTTGTCCCATGCCAAGAGGGAAATTCACTTCTTAACACTGAAAATGCATGATTTGGATAAGGTGGTCAAAGCTGCAGGCTTGAGGACAAGACCAGGGCTAGGGCCTTGTCTAGCTTTACCAGGGGCCTGGGAAGACAGTGACACTTCTGCTGTGATCACGCGTTTTCTTCTTCTTCTGACTCAACCTCCTAGATTATTTTGTCAAACATTTAGTCGTAGTTCTAAATTGAAGAGAGATAAAGTGAAAATAATTCAAGATGTCTGGCTCAATGCGTGGAAGTGCAATACCCTGTGGTGTACAGAGGGGTGGGGTTGATTTTCTTATATTGAGTATACGCCTCTTATATTGGGTATATACCTGAAATTGCTGTCGCCTAATTCCCAAAAATAGGTAGAATCCACAAGGACAAAAGTGTACTTGGGCCATATATATGTAAATGATGTTTTTTCCCCATTGTTATATTATTCATTTTTTGTCACCCAAAGTGCCTTCCTCACATAATCCCGATGCAGTTTGCCTTAGAACAACAATTCTTAACACGCGCACACACACACACACACACATATGTATTACACAGATATACATATGCTATGATGGTTTACTGCACCCATCAACCTGTCTTCTACATTAGCTATCTATCCTAATGCTATCTCTCCCCCAATCTCCCACCCCTCGACAGACCCTGGTGTGTGATGTTCCTCTATCTGTGTTCAGGAGTTCTCCTTGTTCAGCTCCCTCCTATGAGTGAAAATATGTGGTGTTTGGTTTTCTGTTCTTATGTTAGTTTGCTTGAGAAAGATGATTTCCAGCTTCATCCACATTCCTGCAAAGGACATTAACTCAGCCTTTTTTATGGCTGCATAGTATTCTGTATGATGTTTTATGCTAAGAAGCTGCAGAAGTGTTTATATTCCTATACATTATATAATACATACAAATGTACCACTAGATTTGCACAACTAGATTTGCCAGCACTTACAGTCATGTGGGGGAGGAAATTTGGTATTAGTTCTTTTCAAATCACAGACACACGACAGAGTGGGTTAAGAGCATCAAATGAAATTTCCATCTGATTGTCAGTTAAGTTTCATGTGTTATGGGTCATGTTCTAAAAACTGCTCTCCCTAAATGGCTTTTAGTGGTCGGGTAAATTTAATATCAGGTTAAATTCAAATACTCTTATGCTTTTGATAACTGGGTTACCTTCATATTTGTAAAACTGCTTTGTAGTCATCAAAATGAAAAATACTATATTATTTCATTGTCATTAAACCTTTCTTTTCCTTCAGCTTTTAAGTTTGAGGGTACATGTGCTGGATGTGCAGGTTTGTTACATAGGTAAATGAGTGTCATGGTGGTTTGCTGCACAGAGCAACCTATCACTTAGGTATTAAGCCCAGCATACATTAGCTATTTATTCTTCCTGATGCTGCCCCTCCTCCCAGGCCTCTTCGAACTTTCATTTGTGGACTTTTGAGGGGTTCTGAACAGGTGTTGTAGAAAAGCATATTTTCTTTTACACAACTTCAGAATCAATTCCAGATAACCTACTGATATTTTATAGTTCTGTAATAGGAATATTTAAATTGCATAATTTCTTTGAAATAACAATATGAAGACTTAACAGCATCAACAATTGTGATTTACTTTATTTGACTAACTTCTTAAATACAACTTTTTTGGTTTTGTTTAGTGAAGTAATAATATTAGGGATTTATAATATGTGAAATCATCCTGTTAGGATCTAAAGGTGGCTAACATGGACGTCTCCTCTTAACTGTTTTCTGAAGGACAATGTCAAGAAATATGTTGATGAACATTCGCCCAGAGAGTCGAGATGAAGGGGAAAAGAGTTACCATCCTTCGCCTTCTGCAAGGTGTGATTACAGCACCTGCATGGGTTTTGTGGCCCTGGTTAAGTCTCAGTTCCTGTGCCCATTAGAAGCCTCCTGGGCTGAGAGCTCAGTTGTTAAAAATGTGTTCTGCAAGAGAAACTGGGACTGTTCAAACAGAGAAGGAAAAGAAGGATGCTAATACAATGGGCAAAGTGGAATTCTTTTTGCCCAGTGATTCTCAAACTCTGATGGGTAGAAGGACTTTGAGGAATAGTCTCTCCTCCATTTCTGGATTACCATCCTCCCCCCGAAATACAAGAACCTTGCCTACTCTAATTGATATGAAAACTACTCTGGCTTTGACTGAGAGACACCTCTTAGGAGGTATGTTTTAATATTAAGAAACCACATTATATCAAATGTTATTATGTAAAAACCATATTATATCATATGACATTATTAATTCATGTCAGAAACCAATATATAAACTTTATCATTTTAAACATACTAGTATTTAAAAAGCTCTCTAGATTTCAACCAGGATTCTTGCCAAGCAAATCATGAACATGTCTAGGATATCAGTCAGCACTCTTATTTTAGAACTTTAAATTTTAAAGTTGAAAAGCACTGGAGTGTATAAGGGGAACAAAATATTATGCAGAAGCTTTCAGCTTGACAAAAGATTCTTACCTACTCTTGTTTGAATATTTGCAAACTCTAAAAATGTCCCTTTCGAGAGATGCATGACTGTACTGCAGATTTTGTGACAGATTATATGAAACAACAAATTTCTTAGTTCACCAATGAAGAATCACTGTAATAAAAATACTTTACTTTCACCCACCATCATTTTCCAAGCAGTAAGAAAGACTTCATGAGTTTAATTGGTCAATAGTACAAGATATTTCAGGGCATGTAATAAATTTGAGGAAGCACATTCATAAATCTCTTCAATTTCTAATACAGAGTATTTAAAATAAATATTTAAATAGCAATGAATGTTGCCTTCAAAATGTAAAATCAGGTAGCTGGAAAGATCAACTACCTAAAATATAGAGTCTATTGTAATTGAATCTGATTAATCTGAATCATCCTATTAATAAATAACACTAATTAAAGATGCAAAGAAAAATGAAATTCTTAATTTATTATAATTTTAGATGAAATTATATTTATCAAATGCAAACCTTTTTCAGGAATGCTAAGTTAGCCAAAGTGTTCACTGTTTTAACATTTAGTTATTAGATGAAAGATTTGAACACCTTATTTAAAGAATATTTAATTACCTAATTATTGGTTGGGCTAATTACTGCATAAATTCTGTAAATATCTGAATTTGCTAAAAGCTGAATTATTTTTATTTAACATTTTCCAGAAGATGTGAAATGAAAGATAAATGTTACTGAAAATAATCCATACCTGATTTTTATGTAATCAATGATAGCATTGGCTTGTTTTACATCAAAGATACTCCATTCCTCACTTTTTTGTGAATGATTTGGTCCTATTTCAGCCATAACTTCTCCAAGCCATTTTATGCTGTCCTCTAAGGACATATGTAGTGCTGAAATAAAATCCAGAGATATCTTAAGTATTACTTTGATTATCTTATTTTCAGAATAAGATAATCCAAGATGTTTTTAATGTGCCAAAATTTACTTTGTTAAGTATTTGTGAGGATAAATCGTAAAACTCTTGTTTCTTATTAATAAATTAATACATTTTGTGCAAAAGAATAGTGGCTGGCTGAGAATGGTGGCTCAAGCCTGTAATCTCAGCACTTTGGGAGGTTGAGGTGGGTGGAACACTTGAGCCCATGAATTAGACACCAGCCTGGGCAACAGGGTGAAACCCTGTCTCTTAAAAAAAAAATACAAAAATTAGCCAGGCATGGTGGCACATGCTTGAGGTCCCAGCTACTTGGAGGGTTGAGGTACAAGGATGGCTTGAGCCTGGGAGATGGAGGTTGCAGTGAGCTGGGATGGTGCCACTGCACTACAGCCTTGGTGACAGAGTGAGACTCTGTCTCAGGAAAAAAAAAAATTGCAGCTGACTCCACCCCAACATTTGTAAATTACTATAATGCTACACAATTGTCTGCAGAGTTAATGTTTCCATTTTAGGATTAAAAAAACGTCAAAATCTACTTTAAAATCTTTCTTTAAAATGAAAAGGAGATTATAAAAATATATATACAATCTTAGAATAAAAGCATGAAAATTGCAAAAAAGATGTTTGACAGCTGGTGAGGAAGGGAAGATTTAGATGGTAGGCTCAGTTACTAGACAGCAGAGCTGAACTTAGAGCTGAAAATGTAAATGAATGGAGTCAATCAACACTGGGCTTTAGCCAATTGTTTCCATGTGTAAATCTGGGTCTGAAGATTTTCAATAGAAGTCAGAAATATGGATTTTTCTGTAAAACATCAAGTTTTTTTTTTCTTTTCCACAGCTACAGACTTATAACTCATGTAAGCCATTTCTCAAATGTCTGCCCAGTGGTGCTGATGAGAGGCGGATGAAAATGCACGAGTGACCACAACCTAGCCACCACTAGCAGAAGTAACCAGCACAGTGATTCTCATCTATTCTCTCACAGCTTCACATCAATGAAAACAAACATTCGAAACTATCTTCCATGGCATTTGTCCAGTTGAAAAAGAACACCTTAGACTTAACTTTTAAAGTGTCTGTAATAACAATATAAACTTCTATCTTCTTTTCTCATTTGGTTCCATTATGCTTGATGTTACTTGTGACAAATAAAATACTATTTACAACCCACACACATGCTATCCACCCTTTCCCTGGAAGATGGAGTCAGGTATGTGGACTGGCCAGAGTGTCCTATGTTTGCAGAAAAGTGATGAGTGTATGGACATAAAACCAAGGATCCTGGAGGTGGAGAGTTGAAAGACACTGAAGCCAGGCTGGACAGGCTGCTTAGGGGAGGTGAATGTCAGCAGGGGGCCTGAATATGGGATCTGGGGGAATTGTGCTGCTCAGTGTGGACCCCACCAACCAAATCTCTCTCTCTCTCTGAAACCATCAGTAAATGTTACACTTGTTATAATGGAGTTGATTTGGAAGGGAGGGGGTGGAGATTAAAAGAAGTTATGAGAACATAGGCTGAATGCTGGACCAGGTATTTCTGGATTACACAGCTCCTCCTTCCCACTGGGGTGAGTTGATTTGGAAGGGATGGGGGTATAGATTAAAAGAAGTTATGAGAACACAGGAGGATTGCTGGACCAGGTATTTCTGGATTACAAAGCTACGTCTTTCCATTGGGGTGTAAGTGCTATACCGTAAATACCAAAATTACTAATAAGGTAAAGTAATTTAAAGTGTTAGGAAGCCACTATATACACTAACTTGTAATTTGTTTAGTATAGCTTCCTGTCTACTTATAGGAATTAGAACGAAGCATAAAACTATACACAACAATTAAAATCTGGTTTAATGAATTACGGTTGGTTCATTTCCCATTGCCTCCCTCCAGATCATCTTTTATGTATGTCAGATACACTGAATTCTTTCTGGAAACCTAGGTATTCCCATATCATTCTAAGTGGAATTCAATTATTATTGTACATTTCTCTCTTCACGATAACTTCTTTTGATAATAGTGGAAGTAGCTTCAGAAATGAAAAATCTGTTGGATAAAAGGAATTCATAAATGAATGGAAAATCTGAATCATTTTATTAATAAAATGATATTAATTAGAGATGCAGAGAAAAGAGAAGTTCTTAGATAACTGATTATAATTCTAGATAAAATTATACTTATCAAACAAAAATACATTTATATGACTATTCCTTCTGAAAGCAGTTGAATCTTTAAAACTGTTTTCTATGTCTGATGTCTTTCCGTAGATAATTCCTTTAAAAATCAGGGAAGTTATAATTTCATTTATCTAACTGAAATATTTGCTCTTTTAAAAATCCCATTTAGCAATGTGATTAAAATATAAAAGACTAAGCCACTCAAATGGTAAAAGCTTCTAGAAATAAAATTTACTCTTGAAAATTTAGGGTAATGAAAGAACTTACTAGACTTATAATTAATTGAAAAATGTAGGATGATACCCAACTGACCTTCACTATTAATAGCTGGATGACCTGAGTCTCTTTGTATTCATCTACTTTTGGAGACAGGGTCTTGCTCTGTTGCCCAGACTGGAGTGCAGTGATGCAATCATGGCTCATTGCAGCCTTAGCCTCCTGGGCTCAAGTGATTCTCCCACTTCAGCATCCCAAGTAGCTGAGACCACAGCTGTGCACCCCCATACCTGGCTAATTTTTAAATGTCTTTTTCTAGAGATGAACTTTCTCCATGTTGCCCAAGCTGGTCTTGAACTCCTCGCCTCAAAAGATCCTCCTGCTTTGGCCTCGTAAAGTGCTGGGATTACAGGCATGAGCCACTGCACCTGGCCTCATTTCCTTTCTATGTAAAATGAGAATACTGCAATACCTATTTTCAAAATTATAGTGCTGTTGTGTGGATTGAATAAGAAATTTGTGGCCAGGTGCAGTGGCTCCTGCCTGTAATCTTAGCACTTTGGGAGGCAGAGGAGGGCAGATCACCTGAGGTCAAGAGTTTGAGACCAGCCAGGCCAAAATGGCAAAACCCTATGTCTACTAAAAATACAGAAATTAGCCAAGTGTGGTAGCATGCACCTGTAGTCCCAGCTACTCGGGAGGCTGAGGCAGGAGAATCACTTGAACCTAAAAGGTGGAGGTTGCAGTGAGCCGGATTGCGCCACTGCACTCCAGCCTGGCCAGGAGACAGAGTGAGACTCCGCCTCAAAAAAAAAAAAAAAGAAAAAAAAAAGAAAAGAAAAGAAATGTATGTGGAATTCCTGGTGCTATATATGTGTATAGTGGTTTTCTAGATTTAGCCCAAGGCCAGCACATTGGTTGTATTGTTCAGAAGGATGGGCTCTCACTTGCTAGTGTAGACCCTGTGTGACCTTAAGGAGTCACTGAACCCCTCTGACTCATTAATTTCTCTCATAAGGTAGCATGTAAATTAAATAAGACATTAAATAAGACAATATTTGTAAAGCAATTGGCATTGTGACTGGCACAAGCTAATCTACATAAATGTCACCTGAATTTACTATTCCTATTAAGAGGAAAACCAATTTAGCGTCACAAGAACTAAAAAATATTCTATACTTACTTACTAACATTCATGTCATACACAGGGGGGTCCATCTAGGCCTATGGACCTGGATAAAGGCCCAATACCCAGTCTATTGGGGGTGTCCAATCTTTTGGCTTCCCTGAGCCACATCAGAAGAACAAGGATCGTCTTGGGCCACACATAAACTGTATTAGCACTAATGATAGCTGAGGAGCTTAAACAAAATCGCAAGGAAAATCCAATAATGTTTTAAGAAAATTTACAAATTTTTGTTGGGCCACATTCAAAGCCATCCTGGGCCACATGCAGCTCGCAGGACATAGCATAGGTTGGACAAACTTGCTCTACAGCTTATCCTTGGTCAGGCCCTAGAAAAACTAGACCTCACAATATATACTGTTAAGAAAAGTCTACAAGTTCTATGTTCCCTTTTTTTGTTTTTTTTTTTTGAGATGCAGTATCACTGTGTTGCCTGGCTGGAGTGCAGTGGTGCAATCTTGGCTCACTGCAACCTCCATCGCCCGGGTTCAAGCGATTCTACTGCCTTAGCTTCCCAGAAGCTGGGACTACAGGCCTGTGCCATCACATCCAGCTAATTTTTGTATTTTCAGTAGAGATGGGGTTTCACCGTGTTGGCCAGGATGCTCTCAATCTCTTGACCTTGTGATCTGCCTGCCTTGGCCTCCCACAGTGCTCATATTACAGACATCAGCCACTGTGCCTGTCCTGTCCCATATCCAATTTGATCCAATTTGATTCTAGATGGGTTAACTGCAGAATGCCTGGTAGATATACAGCTCAAGTTTGAGACAAGGATCAGATTGGAGACTGAGCTAGCATGAAATGCAGTTCCTGCACTAGATAGAGCACACTCCTGCTAGAGGCCCAGAGTGTGCTCTTTTGGGCTTTTTCTATTATGACATTGCTGAATGGGAGTGGTGGCTATGTGCTCAGGACCCTACTGCTACCTAGCTGATGTGTAAACATACTTTATCTCCTTGGCTAAAATTACATTCTTTCCTAATGATGACTATAACTTTGTTAAGTTTAAAAGTGTGGAGGAAACTTTTTTTATTTTAATTTTTTTTCTGCCAGAAGGTAAAACTAGATTCCTTGCTTTTTTTTTTTTTTCTGGTTATGTTTCACATATGTATTTTCTCTCTCATGGTTTATGAGGAGCTGGATGGATCCTCTTCAGGTTTTAGAAATTCATTTTTGCAATAATATCAACAATATAAAATTTCACCTAGAAGAAATGTTACTGAGTCTTAAAAGGTAAGGGAAAAGTTTAAAAAAGAAATATCTTCTCAAATTTGGGATGTAAGGTTCATGAAAATTTTTGCTTTCCTTTATTCTATTTCTAGTGTATGAATACTCAGCTCAGAAGTTGCTGAGACTTAGGACAGTCCATGTTACATATTCTCTTTAAATATTTAATTTTTGCATAAGTGATGTATTCACATTTCAAAAATATATACGCAGCAATCTTGTGAAAAGACTTCCTCCAATATCTGCTGCCCATATGCCCAGTTCTAACTACTGTTCACCCCAAGGAACTTTAATTATTCATTTTTTCTGTATCTTTCAGCATTTCTTTGTGTATACACAAATAAAAATATGGATAGATTCTTATTTTTGTCTCTTTTGTAAATAAAAGCATGCAGTTCTGTACCATGCTTTACTTAATAACTATATATTGTCTCCCATACAGTACATAGAAAGCTTCCTCATTTTTTCCTTTTTATAGCTTCCCAGCATTCTATTCTAGGGAAAGCTAATAGTTACTGATAAACTTTTAATTTCGGTGTAGTTTTAGATTTACAGAAAGATTACAAGAATATTGCAGAGTCTCCAGATATTTAGAGGGTGGATGGCACCAATACAACTTTAAAATAAAATTAACATATCTTTGGCAAATTGATTATTAAGAAAACTGTTTGTTTTTGTAACTCAATGAAGGTATGAACTATGTATTTGCTATGTTCAGGAAAACCCCAAATTTTTCATTAAAGGAATTACAATAAAATCAGTAACTTTTGCTTAAGAACCTCAGTTTAGATGGTAAATTTCTTTTACTTAAAAAAAAAATGTACTCACTTTCAAGATTCTGAAGTAACATGGCTAACAAAGTCATAAATTTTGAATATTGAATAACAGAAAAATCCATTCTTCTAGCCCACAAAAATCCAGAAACATAATAATCTAGTAGAATGGCATCCTTTAAACAAGTTTCAATGTTTTTGAAATTCAAAAAGATTCTGAGTTTTCTGCAAAATAAAAGAAAAATCCAGACATTAAGTCAGATTAGATATTGAACCATTTCTTTCCTAAGTTTTGAAATAGGTTTTTTTTTTAATGAAAATTCTATAATGCCCATAATCTGAAAATATTCAGTTACATCAAATTTCACAGGACCAAAGTGACATTCAGACAAGATCGGGTACGTTCAGGGTGGTATGGCCGTAGACCAAAGTGACATTCAGAAAAAGAAACAGAAAGACAGAATAATGAAGGGGGAGTACACTCTATTTTTCCTTCCTCCTCTTCCTTATTTTCTAGTTCTCCTCATTCTTCCCCCTTCCTCTCCTTTCTTTCTTACCTGTTTATGTATAGCAATTTTACTACTATTTTTCCTCTGAATTTCAATGTGTTTTTTCATTTATAAAATTTTCTTTTATTTCTGAAAATGTTCCGAAACTAAGTTGTTAAATATTCTGATATATGAAAGATATATATGAAATAAATATATATATATAGATATATATGGAGAGAGAGAGAGAGAGAGAGAGAGAGAGAGAGAGAGCCTGCTCCATCAGCTGGGTTGGAGTGCAGTGGTGCCATCTTGGCTCACTGCAACCACTGCCTCACTGCCTTTCCAGTTCAAGCAATTATCCTCCCTCAGCCTCCAGAGTAACTGGAATTAAAGGTGCCCACAACGATGCATGGCTAATTTTTTGTATTTTTAGTAAAGACAGGATTTCACCACGTTGGCCAGGCTGGTCTTGAACTCCTGACCTCCAATTATCTACCCGCTTGGGCCTCTCAAAGTGCTGGGATTACAGGCCTGAGCCACCGCACCCAGTTCATTCTGCTGTATTTTAAAAAGAATTTCAATTATCCATATTTTAGTCATTTTTTTCTAGAATTTTAATATTCTTTTCAACCTTAAAAAATTTTCAGGTCTATTCCTTTTCATTTTGGATACTTTTATCATTACTGTGTACCTTAGTGTGTTTTCAGCAGGGTTATTCTGGAGGTGGCTCTAAATTTCCCCTCAAATCCCACAAGATCTTTCCTTCTCTACTCTTTCTTAAAAACATATTGATAATCTTTTATTTCTTTATCTCTTTCTTGAGCTTTTATATCTCTGTTGTATGCTTTTTGTAAATGCTTCATATGTTTTAAAATTTATGGTAAAACATGTATTTTTTTGTCTGCTCATGGTTATATCTTTCTGATGTATTTTATTTGCTATTTCTCTTTCCCGCTCTTCTTCTATTTTTTTCTTGCAGTGTCTTAGAATGCATATCCTTTGTTTATACCTCATCTTTGGATGAAGTGAGTTTTTGTCCTTGAATAGCTACTTTCAGGAAATACACTGGAGGTGAAGATGTGGTCATGTTACAAACTAGTAGGCATTGTCTGTATGAAGTAACTTTCTGTCAATTATTCTAGCATTTATTTATTTATTTTTAATTGGTAAGGAAAAATAGAGAATGGATAGACTCTCTTTATTATCATATAAACAGTCAATTTCCTGTGATACAGAAAGGATCTGCTCCAAACCTACACACCTGGTACTGCTATTGCAGACAAGCGTTCCTGAAATGGGACTTAAGGGTTTCTCCTCCTGGGAGATTAAGCAGATAGATAGATATAGACATAGATAGATATAGATATAGTTATAGATATAAATTAGCTCATTCTAAGCTCTTTGACTATGGGCATCCTTCTTTATATCTTCTTCTGCATTCTGGTTGATCTATCACGACCGTGTTTTGTGATTTGGACCACTAGCATTCTCTTGGTTTTGACAAAGATGAAGGTGGCATTTCCTTGCTGTTTTTATGTGATTTCTGAGGAAGGTAATAGGTGTGTGACAACTTTTTACTGCCATCTTCAAAAATGAAAGGCCTTATTATTCTTAACATCAAAATAAATGATATAACCAGATTAATAAATATAGCAGGATTAAACAAGTTTGGGAGCAAGTAAATCTGATGTCGACATGTGTCTATTTCTTCAACATTTCATCTACAGTGGTATCCGGATAGACCTCAAACCCAAAAGAGTTCGGATTATTCTAAGGCAATCACGGTAATTTCAGCCCCTTACCAAAATGTCATTTAGCATATGGCATGTCTCAAAAATAATTATTGTTCTATGATGGGCATGCTCCTAAATAATTCTAAATAATTAATAACAGAGGATAAAGTTTTTTTTTCTGTTGAATAAAAATAAAAAAAGAGTAAACAAGTGGCTCTAGTTGCTACTGCCAAGTTACCTTGTAACCCTAAGAAAAATGGGTCCTAAGATTAGCCTCATTTCTTGATGATACTATTTAGACATTGACTCAATTAACCTTGAAGTTAATCTATCTCTGAGTTTCCTGTTATGTTATATATTACATACATGTATATATATGTATATGTGAGAACATTATATATTTTTAATTTTTAGGTCAATATGGTCAGTTTTTCATGTTGCATGTCACTACACAATTTGATACATTTTTTCAAGCATTCAACTCAACTGGCAGATATAGACATCCTGATGGTGGTGGTGGTAGAGTTTTACTCCATTAGCCAGGGATCTTTAATTTGCATGGACATCATTTGGCAAGATTTATTTCTCAATGTTTAATGTACAGTGTCATTTACTCTTAAGTGAAAGTCAGTAAGAAAACTTCTACAATAATGAAAACTTGTGGTATTGTTATGGGATAAATAAGTAGGCCAGTGGAATATGTAGAAAGCCCAGAAACAGACCTAATATACACAGGAGCCTGGTATATTGCAGAGGTAGTATTTCAAATCAGTAGAGGAAGTATAAATTCTTCAAAAATGGTGCTGGTGCTGGGAGAATTGGTTATCCAAATGGAAAATAAAATAAAATACCATCCCACATAATACATTAAAATAAAATCCAGGTTGGTTAAAGATTTAAATGTCAATAGCAAACATTACAAACTTTAAATTAAAAAAATTTCTGACATTTGGATAGGCCAAAATTTCTTAAAAGTGACACCAAAAAATACAAACCATAAAGAAAAAGACTAATAAATTGGTCTTTGTTAAACAGACAAAACACTTCTGGAGAATCAGAGACAAATTACATTGAAAAGACAAGCTGCAGACTGGGGAAAAATTGTAATGAACATAATTGAAAAACAATTAGTATTCAGCAAGAAAGGAGAAGTAGGAAGCCTTTCCATTCTTTAGTCTTATCAGTAGGATAGAGACCTAAATGCAGTTAATAATAGATCAGGATTCCCAAATGGGCTTTGATGTCCTCCACTGGTTAAGAATCTAGAGTAAAGAGAAATGATTAATTAAGATCTTTCTAGCCTGGCCTGGTGGCTCACGCCTGTAATCCCAGCACTTTGGGAGGCTGAAGTGGGCAGATCATAAGGTCAGGAGTTTGAGACCAGCCTGACCAACATGGTGAAACCCCGTCTTTACTAAAAATACAAATATTAGCCAGGCATGGTGGTGGGCGCCTGTAATCCCAGCTACTCAGGAGGCTGAGACAGGAGAATCACTTGAACCCAGGAGGCAGAGGTTGCAGTGAGCCAAGATCGCACCACTGCACTCCAGCCTGGGCGACAGAGCAAGACTCCAACAAAAAGATCTTTCCAAAACTCCAATTATCTTTTGCAATAAATTCCCAAAATTGGGACTGCTGGGTTATACTGACCATGGTGAGATATGCTGCTAAACTTCCCTCCAGAAAGGGAAGTGCCAAATAAGTCTTTCATCAACACCACACAGGAATGTCCACTTTTTTATACTCCAATCTAGTTTGGATTTTGTCCATAATCTTAACATCTATCAATCTAATAGAAAAAATTACTATCTTATATATGTCTTTGCTTATTACATTGGATTTCTTTTAAATGTCCTCTAATGGTTACTTTTTCTTAGAAATTTATCAAAGTTTTTTTTTGCAAACTTAGGGACATTAACTCTTTACATCTATGATACAAGTTTTTAAAAAGCATTTTGCTATGAGCCATTTTTTAAAGCAATTTTCTTGTGATTATATGATTTTTTTAACAGTAATCCTGAAGTATTTGCACTCACTCACTCTCAACTTAAAATAGCATTACTATAAATAGGGGTTATCTGCTTCAATTCAATTTTATTTTTGGTGAGAAAAGGAAATTCAGTTATTTTTTTCCCATGTGCTTGCCTATTTTTGTTGACATGTTCTAGAATATTGTTTTAGTCTATTATTATGATACTGTATTTAATTTTAATTTTAAATGATCCACACTTACTGCCAGACTTCTTATATCACAATTTCTCATTGGCAGGTTTTGTTGTTTAAAAGTCACCAATGAACTGACTTATCTTTCAGCTGGGTTATGAGGTAAATTTTTCAATAGGACCACATGAATACTGTATTTTCTGAGTTGTTCTATATATTGCAATGTCTTGTTGCAATTATAACTAAACAACAGACACAAATAGTATTTTTATTTTTATTTTTTTTGAGACGGAGTTTCACTCTTGTTACCCAGGCTGGAGTGCAATGGTGCGATCTCGGCTCACCGCAACCTCCGCCTCCTGGGTTCAGGCAATTCTCCTGCCCCAGCCTCCTGAGTAGCTGGGATTACAGGCACGTGCCACTATGCCCAGCTAATTTTTTGTATTTTTAGTAGAGACGGGGTTTCACCATGTTGACCAGGATGGTCTCGATCTCTTGACCTCGTGATCCACCCGCCTCGGCCTCCCAAAGTGCTGGGATTACAGGCTTGAGCCACCACGCCCGGCCCCACAAATAGTATTTTATTTTGCAATCATATTCTCTTGACTTCCTAAATTTTGGCTACTTGCCACACTACTGAATTTTGGAGACTAACCTTGCTAAGGAAAAGTCTGAGGCCTGTTATTTTCCTCTCTAGGTGACTTGCTTTAAATTTATCCCAGGAAAAAGGCAATAAAAGTGAGATTTTATTCTACTAAAATATTAAAATCAAAGCTTTTACGAAGAGTGTAGATTATTTTTTCTGATTCACTATGTTGAAGGTTGAAGGTATATTCTAGTATCTTCAAATAATTGCTTTATCTACACTTTATATAAGTTTTCTTAAATTTGTCTTCCATATTACTGACTTGATTTTCAGCAAGGTAAGTTCTACATTGGTTTTACTCTTAGCCTTAGTTCCTTGCCTTGGTTCTAAAAGCTTCTTCTTTATATTTTCTTACCCTTTTTTTTTTTTTTGGTCTCTTGTTCTGTGAATTTGATGTCCTCTTTAATTATTAGCTTTAACCCAACGTTTTCTTCTGTTTCTAGCAGTTAGTTTTTCTTCTAAGTATACTCATCATCTGCCATCTGCACACTATGTATTTTAAATTAAATATTTGCCCTGAATATTTTTTTTTTTTTTTGAAACGGAGTTTCGCTCTTGTTACCCAGGCTGGAGTGCAATGGCGCGATCTCGGCTCACCGCAACCTCCGCCTCCTGGGTTCAGGCAATTCTCCTGCCTCAGCCTCCTGAGTAGCTGGGATTACAGGCACACGCCACCATGCCCAGCTAATGTTTTGTATTTTTAGTAGAGATGGTGTTTCACCATGTTGACCAGGATGGTCTCGATCTCTTAACCTCGTGATCCACCCGCCTCGGCCTCCCAAAGTGCTGGGATTACAGGCTTGAGCCACCGCGCCCGGCTCTTTGCTTTTTATTTTTACTTTTCAATGTTTAGTTGTGTTTGAATGATGGTAACTACTTGCCAAAGAATATTTTGGTGAAATCTCTGTGACCTCTTTCAACTTTGCTGTCCTCCACATCCCCTTCACCATTTTCCCTAATACCATTTGTTTCTTTGCTTTTAACTTGAACCACAGGGCTAAGGATTTAGCATTTCCATTCTTTCCACGGTCATTTCACTCCAAAGGAGATTATGAAGGGAGGCAACTGGAGCAAGAGACTGCTTGGTTTGAATGCAAAGTTTCCAGTATTTTACTGGCAAATATGTAAACTTTTTCTCTGTAAGAGGAGATGGAACAGGGGAGAGGGGAGAGATGGCCACAGCTGTAGCACGACAGAATGTAGGGAAAGAGAAAGATGATTCATTGTGTTTTAGAAAGTTTAGTATAGTGGTGATAAGTGATATACCTATCTATTTTGTCTCACCAAGAATTTGGGTAAAAATATTACAATATTCTTGCATGTTCTTGACAATGGGGTGCATTTTACTTCTTAAATATGACATGCAGAAATAAGCCTCAAGGCAAGAGCTAAGTAGCTCATGGACGTCCAGCTACCGAAAGATTATTAAAGATGTCTCAGTGTTATTTTTGTGTTTATATAGTTACTTTCAGTCTTTATTCTTTTTTTAAAAAAATTGAGATAGATCTATAAATAAAGTCAAGGTTACATTAAAATATTTATGATTGATAGCAGCTAAGAGATCATGAGAAATGTACCCAGACATTTAACTGCTTAAAGTGAATTTCAGAAATATGTTTTAATGACACTTTAATGTTTCATTTGGTTGGCTGCTTTCATGGAGAGCAATTTTTAATTTTATGAGGTAGGGAAATGTGCTGATTTCTAACTTTAATAGGCATATAACTTTTTAGACTCTATGATTTTCACATACTTCTATCACTTGGTGATAGGATACTTAAACTGTATTTCTGTCATTTTGAAAAGCATATAACCCCATTTATAATAATGCTATTTTAAATTGAGTGACTGATTTCAAATATTTCAGTATTACCATTATCAAAATCATGTAAAGAATCTCAAGAAAATTGTTTTACAAAGAAATGGCTCCTAATATAATACTGATGTTATTTATCCAAAGATGATGTCTTAAAATTTGAGATCACGTCAGGTGACTTCTACATTAATGAGACAGTCTAAAAAGGTGAACCTGCTATTGAACCTGATGTTTTTATATTGCTAACTTCTGCATCACCTTCTGTATCACTTACTGCATCCTAGGCCTTACCAACTAAAGATTAAATATATGCTCAGAATTTAGATATTTAACAACAAAGAGAGCCAATAATTTAAAAAATTCTTGTCACACAAAGTACAATACATAGCACAACTTACAATGTGGGAAAAACTAATTTTAAAAAGCACTTGTTTGCAACACTTTTTATTTAATATTAATTGTACTTAACATCTTTTACTTGACATTTAACATAAACAAATGATGAACTGTATAAAATGTCTGCTACCTGCATTGTACTATTTTGCCTAGTACCTAGGGTTTCACATTGCAATGATCAATGACATTTGGGGGTACCTGGAAATGGAAAATAACATTCTACGTAAAGACATGATCAGTGGTATTAATACGATACGTGCATTTTATGGATCAATTCTTACACTAAGAATCAGAATTCCTAACAAACATTAATTTCTATAAAAATGGTAGAATCATCAGGAGATACTTGTTTGAAATCTGTGAAATTTTAAATTCACTAATACTTGTAGAGATAGAGATAGTAAGCAGTATGGCCGATCACAGAGCATCAATTTCTAGCAGAGGTTGTCAGCGCTGGAGCTGAGCAGCTCAGGAAAAGGCCTGTCAGTGTTATTCACCTGCTCTTGATAAGCCTTCCCTTCTCAGATTTTTCTTCCAGCCAGGACATCTGTCATATTCCCTTCTCAGTAGCAAGTCATCTTTATTCTATACATTTGTAAAATTTGTCAGTGATAACCACTGACAAAGAGTCATTTTCTATTTATCTGTTATGGTCCACGACACTCTGCTTGTGTCCCGAGGACTGGCCTGCAGAGACCTGATACCAGGATGGTACAGTCTAGTGCATGACATCATCCCCACTCTCCACACATTATGACCAATTAAGCTTCCATTCTAAAGTGAGATCATTTTTTAAATGAGTGATTACTAAAAACAACATTTAGGATATTATGTTGTTGGGTGTATCTGACAAAAGTTCTAAATAGATGATCTATTGTAGAAATAAATGGCCTAAAGAGTGAGATGTATATATATTAGAATTACTGCCTATAAATTCCATTGTAATCACATTTTTAAGTAACATGTATGCAATCATAGTACTTAGTATAGTATTATGCCTGATAATAATATCACAGGTGAATGGCTAATTAAATCACAGGTGGATGGCTAGTATTCAAGATTTCCAATATAACAAAATGCATTTTCCATTCTCTTTACAGAAAACACAACTTACTCTTCTTACAATGAGGGAGAACATCCTTTAGGTTAATGTGCATATTGACAGTTTTATGAATGAAAGAGGGAAAAAAGTAGAAGACGGCATATGCTAGAGCCTGCTTTTACTAACAAACCTCTGCTCTTGGTAAATATTAGTAAGTTGGTTTACAATGTATTTTCTTCATAAAGGAGACTGTTGTGTAGTGTAAAAAGTTCTTTGAGAATTTTTGTGTTTCGGAATCCAGATATATTTCAGTGCATAATATTATAACAAATATTTTGAAAAAAGCTTAAATATGTAACCACAATCATTTATAGATGCAAAACTAGAACTGTTCTTCTATATGCGGTTGTAACAGTGAAATGCTTACTCTTGAACTCCATCGACGTCCTCTGTTAACAAATCAGTGATTTGGGCAACTGACAGAAAATCCGGAGACAGAATCTTTTCATGCTCCTGGAATTCAGTGTCTCTCTAAAAAAAAAAATGCAGAGTGAGTTATTTCAATTGTATGTTTTATATATTATACCCCATAATATCAAAATTTGTTCTTTTTATACTCTAGTTGCTGTCAGAAAAAGACATTTAAAAACAACAATCTTTGAGATGATATTTTTTCTTTTCCATATTTATGCAATGGCATCTTTCACCTGAAAAGTCAAATGGCTAGTCAATCTGTCTTTCGGGCATATGCAACAACTGGGTGATGGTTTTCAATTCCACAAAAGTTTATTATCTACACATTCCTCATTGAATCCGGGACTCATGAGGAGGCAAATACAAACAAGAAAGATATGCTAACCTCAAGTAGCTTAACATCTAGTGAGAGGAACAAACCTAGGGTGCTGTTACAAGAAGAAAAGAACACAAGTAAGCTATAATAAATGCGGCATTCAGTCTAAAAGAAGGGGCAAGTATAGGCACAAGACAAGGAAATTCTACAGAGAGGAGCTCAATAGGCTTTGCAGGGCTGGGTGTGGCCAATGCCCCATGTGAATGAACCAGCAACACCAAGGTTATGAAGATAGGATAGTTAGGAACAAGTTCCGTAAATATCAGCAGTTCACAATGATACCTAGGGTATATGAGAGGGACTAGTTGGACTTAGGTGGAAGTGGGCATTGGGAACGTATGGTGGAAGATCTTAAATTTAATGATTCAGCAATTATGTATTGGGTGCTCACAAGGTACAGGACATTGTGCATCATAAATATTTTAGAACCTGGCTGGCTGAAGAACAGTAGTCTAAGAAGTTTGTTTCTAGTAACACAGACAATAGTGCTCAGAACCATGAAGGTTCTGAACAGGTAAATAACAAGACAAAGCAGTGTTTTAAGAAAGGGTAATCTACTGCAAAGTGAAAGAAAGACAGGAGCAGAGAAAGAGTTAAAGAGATCATTAAAACAGTGTAGGGATGAAGCATTGGACTACTCTGGTCTCCTTGACCCTGTGGATAATAAGAAAGTGGTGAATGTAGTCATATCATGGGGGCCTAAAAGAGGGGAGAAAAAATGGAGATTCTGTTTCTGAAATAGGTGACTTGGAGAGAGTGATGGCAATACTAATAATACATGTGTCACCTTTGTGTGAGTGAGACAATGGTATCCTCTTTAGGTGGAGGAAGTGCTAAAAAGATTTCCCTAAGGCTGACACAGCCCTGTGCCCAAGTACATTGCCTGTTAAGAAAGTCTAGTTTTAGTCCTTACTCACTCCTCAGCCAAGTGCTTTTGTTCAGAGCAGCATCTGCACAACTGTACATGTCGTCCTTTTTATATTGATAGAAATACAGCGTTGGAAGATGATGCTAGTTTCTAAATAGCAAGTTGATTAGTTTGATTTCAGACGATGAGTTTAAGAAGGAATACTAATAGTGAGGAAGGAACGTTTAGAGTTTAGTTAGAAACGTTGGAATCACAAAGGTCAAGTTTACAAACATTGGTTTAAGAGTCAACTGCAACCATGAGAATGGATGAGACAGCTCAAAGTCAGGGCATAAAGGGAAGAGCTGTAAGGGGGAGATGGAAGAGGAGACTGAGAAATAGAGGAAATAGAGCAGCAGCTACACAAAAATAAAAAATTGTGAGATTTTGGGGGGCAAGAGGGCAAATGTTTTTCAGTTCAATAAATAGTTATTGAGCCTTCCGTGCAATTGAGTTCCAGCTAAAGGTAGCAAAAAACTGCCTTGCTATAGTTTACCAGACAACATACCAAATCCTTTTCCTTTTTCAAGAGTAGAAAAATCTCTTATTGGTAATGGTAATTGGCTTAATGTCTGCAATTTAATATTAAGTTATTATGCTACATTTTTATCTTTGAAAATCTAATTTGGAAATAAAATATGCTACATTATGAGCCACTTTTTTTGTAAGCTAGGGTGGGCCAATTAATCTAAACTAGGTCATATCATTAGATTATAAAATCATTAGGAAAAAAGTATTTTAATATGCTGCATCTAGTAGGTACTCAGATACTTGCAAATTGAATTAAATCCACCCAGTTTCTGTTTAGGATACTGTTTTGATCTATAATATATGGTTATATTTGTTTAAATAATTTTTGGTAATATGTATTTTTATTAGTGGTAAAGTATAATTATTCCTATAGTGTCAATCCCATTAGATTGTAAATTCCTCAGGTACAGTCATTCAATTTTTAATTTCTTTTTAGAATTCTGCAGTTCCTGATATGTCAACATAGGTTGCTAACCGGCTGTCTAAATTCATCTTCATCATCTGATTACACTATTAGATAGTGGAGCATGATGAAAAGCAGGACTTAGAGGAACTCCAGATCTCATGACAGTTTGACTACTGATTAATTTTATGACTTAAGGCAAGTCATTTGAACCTAAATTTGAATTCATATTAAATATCATTTTTATGTGTTTTAATACACACAAGATTGCTGTCATATTAATAATGAATAAAGATATACATGAAAAGTGAATTATACAGACATTCAGATCAATTTATCTGATTTGAAAAGTCTCTGGATAGGAGAAAAGTAGGTCACACAAAAACTATATGAAAGAGAATTCAGTATCTTAACCTTTTGGACAGTAATCATTTCAGCTAAGATGCCTCATATTAGTGCCTCATTCTTTTACTAAACTTTGCAGGCTTAAGATAATCATCTTTTAGGGGAGCTTGCCTCTGGGTTTTTTCTTTTGTTTTAAATTATATTCTTGGACCTATTTTAAACCAGACCTCTTTTTTGTTTGTTTATACAGTGCCTTGCTTGAGAAGGATATCAGATGGCTAAAAATGTTGAATCTTTCAACATGTACATTCTGCTTTGTAAAAATTAAAGATATAATAGAAAATTCATAAATAAGCTAAAATATGTGGATATGTAATTGTGGCTTTCTCTGTCAAATTAAATCTCCAACTAGGAAAATATGTAAGCTAAATGGCACTGTTAATTCATTTTATTCCACCACCTGGTGGATTTTAGGAGTTATTCCAAGAGCAATAAAACAGTAAGTCTGATATTATCTGCCAGATAATGTTTTCCTCTAATTTTTCCCTCTCTAATGTCAACAAAATTTTTCACATTTGTATATATTTTTTGTTTCTAGAATATAAACTTTTAGGGCCATCTTTGTATCCATCACTGGTAGTGCTTTATATGAAAAAGATTCTTAGTAAGTACTCACCAAAAGAAAGATAACAGATTTCACCAAAGATTACTGAGGAGAAGTTTCCTAGTCACAGAGGACATAGACTGGTCTGCAAATTCTACACTTGAAAGCTGTTTTTTTTTTTCTTTGTTTTTTAAAGCCTGAAAATAAATGAACTAAGCAGGAGGAGCAGTGCTATGCTAAGCCATATTGGAACCAAAGCAAAAGGAAAAATCAGTAATACAGATCTGGTCTTTACTGAAAATTTTAATCCATCAGGGATTTTTTGTGGACATTAAGTTTGATTTTTTAAAGTATTGCATTAAAATAGAACTTCTTGACTATTGAGTTTTTTTTTGTCACTTCCTTAAATTCTGTGCCCAATGAGAGTGCCTCATTCACCTTACCATTGTCTTTCTATGAAGCTAAAAAGCCAGTATTTTTCAAAACAACAACGAAAAAAGTGAAAGAGGAATAAGTAAAAGCAAGAGCTGACTCCTTAGAATAGATAATAAAATAGACAAATCTTTGGCAAATGTCACAAAAACATAAAGAAAATAAATTTGTCACATTCAGTGACAATACATTTGAAAATTTTAAGAAAATGAGTGATTTCTTGGGAAAATGTAAGTTTTCAAAATTGACCCAGGGTAGTGAGAAAATTGATCTGATCAAACATGAACTAAACTGGAAGTCTACTTTCTAAAAAGTCACCATGCCCAGATGGTTTTATACTTTTAGTTGTACTTATTAATCAAAGAACACATAAATTCTATGTCAGTCTAATAATTATAGACTATAGGGTGTTCATTTTTAAGAAGCCAGCATAGTCTACACATAAAACCCTGAACTAACAAAAAAGGAAATTATAAACCAAAATCACAAATCAATGCAGATGCAAAAATTATAATTAAAATACATCTTAGAAAATTAAATCTTAAAATATACTAAAAGAATTACAAGCTATACTTATGACCAAATCAGATTAATTTTAAAGATCCAAGGATGGATCATCATTAACAGGTCTAATATAATTTTTATGCCAAATTAAATGGTACAAATTTTATGCATATTTAAATATATAATAAATAGGCACTTACTAGGGTTCAGCAGCAAAACTCCCAGTAAAATATGAAAAGAAAAAAATGCTAAACACGAAAAAGACTATTTGCCAAAATCATATTGCAAGCAACATATTGAGTAGTGAAATCCTAAGTCATTCTTATGAAAACAAGGAACTAAAACAAGGTTATGGATACCAACATTATTGTAATTCAACACACTGTAGAGGTTCTAACTAATACAATAAGAAAACTAAATATGTAACTTAAAGAGCAGAAATGAGGAAATTTGAAAATCTTTATTTGAAGATTACATGGTTGCATACCTAAGAAAGCTGACATTGTACTATCAAAAAAGTTATTACTAATAAAAAATTTGGTAAGATGGTTTTATATAACATAAATATATAAAAGCCAGTTTATTCCTTTATAAGAGGCTAATTAAAAACAGAAATGGTAAAAACCTGACTGAATTATATTTGGTTATAAATATAATGTGAAAAGTATAGTATCTATATAAAGAAACTATAAAACTTTATTAAAAGTTCAAGAACAAGACTTGATAAAAAAGATTTATTAAAAACTTTCAAATTCCAAGAACGAAATCCTTTCTACATTATGAATGGAATGTAATGACAACCTCAAACCCCAGTGAGATTATTCTGGAACTTTACAAAATAACTTTTTAGTTCCTATGGAAGAAGACATACTTGTAAAACAAAAATAGTGAAAGTGACCTTTCCAAAATAGGTTTAAAAAATGCCTATAAAATGACATGATAGTGACACAGTAAT